GGACTTTCCAGTTCATCAGAACTGACGTTGTTCTGGGAGGACATAATTATCTGTTTTACTGGAAAGGAATAGGCAAATTGCCACGAAGCTAAGCTGCGACTTTTATATAAAAGTTTAGCTATACAACACATCTTGAAATGTGGGCAAGATTTCCTTAAAGCACTCAGGAAAGAATATTAATGTTTTAAACTAACTTTTCAATGCCTACGGACATTCTGCTGCAGCTACTGTTAAGAGAAAAATAACTAGACTGAATCGATTATTATTAATAATATACTTCTGAGAGTTTGTCTTTATTACAAGGTAATTTTTCAAAAGCATGAGGTCGTCCTAGCAGCCTGTAGTTCTTCCCTGTAATGCCTTCCTGTTATGTCTCCAGGTCTCTGCCCTGTGGGGCAGACCAAAGCAGGAATATTTCCCCATATTTTCCAGATCCCAGATCAGTGGAATTTCAAGAGGAAAATCATCTGCCTTAAAAGGCTTCAGAACATATGCAGATCTCAAGGATCAAATTATACCTTATAAATTATGTTGATTGCAGTATAGATTGGTTCGGTCTAGGACAGCTAAGTGTAGGTTAGTCTCTGCAATACGTGGGACAACGAGGACTTTACATGCAGTGAACTGTCACTGACAAACCTCTCAAAAATAACAGCAGAAGTCCAGAGCAGAGAAGTCTTATGAACGCACTTGACATCCTTGCTGGACATACACATTTTCTTTGCAGAATTTCCACCTCTGTTAGTGATAATGCCAGGAGAGAACTCAGGAGCCTAAGTTCAAATGCTTCCTCCTCAAGTCATTAGAAACCCTGCGTATAATCTTCTTTGCCACCTTCCTAACTGCATCTGCTCTGTGCTGCAGCCTGTGTCCCAGCAAATGCCTGGCTGAAGGGGCTGGAGCCATGTATGCATTGACTTCTGCTTGTGCGAATTCAGTGGTCATCAGTAAGCAGCAGAATTTGGATTCTTCTTCATTAAACTGCCGGAGAAACAGTGCTAGTGTTCCTGATGGTCAGAAAACTGGCTTTGAAGCATTGCAACATACTCTAAGAACTTTTTATTGGAACTGTATATTTAATGGAAAATATGCTGTAGAAATGAGTGCAGAAAATGGAGTGCAATTAATCTGTTTTAAGTTTAAGTAGGGAAAAGGATATTATGGATAGGAAAAGATATTGAGCATAGTATTAAAAACAACCAAAAAACCCCCAACAAACAAACAAAAATCATGCATGTCTGTTGAGCTGAAGAAATTTCAAATGAAAAGTACTCTTCTGCTCCCATTATACTAGCAGAATGGAAGAAGGAATGATTCAAATTATGAAAATGTTTTCTCTAAGACATCTGTTGATCTAATACGCGTATAAGACATCTCAGCCTAGACATGAATAACTAGGCTCAATGTTATTCACTTTATGCAAGAGGAGAGGAGGGAATCAGTTCTTGCAGTGCAGGAACTGATGGATACATTGTGGGTAAAAAAAGCAGAAAGTTTTCTTGAGACCTTAAGAGGCTCTTGGATAGTACAAAGTGAGCACTCTTGATTGCTGTGACTTTTCAGGTCTTTGCTCCAAGCCTAGCTCTAGCCCTCAAGCACTGGTGAATGGGAGTGGGCTGAGGAACAACTTGTGCTGTAGTGGGACTGGGAGTGGTGCTTCCAAAGTGTTGGGATGCTTTAGGAAATGAAGAATAATTTTAAACTTAGAGGGTGGAGCATAGGATTTACACCTCCCCTGCTAATACCTGTTAATAGAATTAAAGATTCAATGATGCTGTAAGGTTCACTAGCACAAAATGTGATGGTTTTCAGTGCCCCATCTGTCTGTAAAAAGCTCCAGGGTTTTTGGAAGTGGAAGGAAACCTTTGGTGAGGGGGGGAGATGGTCCATAAGGAATATTCTGTCATCGGCACTTCCTGCCATGATAAAAATTTGTTAGAAACTATCTGCGTTGCAGCAGCCATTTTCAGTCAGGATGATGAACCTTGCCTGGTACTAGCAGCAGATCCTATGTTGCCATCACACTTCTTTTTTATATTTGTCTGGCATCTTTACTTTTTGATCCTGCCAAATGGTTTGTGGAGATTTTGAGACTACGTGGATGTAATAATGAAGAAGGTCCAGATTCTATCATTCAGGCTCATTAAAGTACCAATTTGAGAACTGTCCTAGTGAAATTAGTGAGACCATGTCTGGAGTAAAGCACAAATTATAGTTAAATAAGGGTTTCAGAGTAATTATTTACAAATAAAACCGAATTCTGCATTTTTAGGCAAAGTGTAATTAGACGGTTAATTAGGCAACGCAGAATCTGTGTGACATGACTATTTTTGGATTTGTTTTGAACAGTATGTCTCAATACTTGAGAGATTTTGGTTTTCATTGCTTTGTGAAGAATAATTTGCAAATACTGTGATGGAGAATTCTCTCACATGAGCCTAAGGGATGTGATTCTTACCATATAAACTTACAGGGCTCTCAGACTCATTCAAAGTCTCTAAAATAACTTGCTACATGACCATAAAATTTAGTTTAGGCTTTTTTCCCCTCTGTCTCTGTTCTGGTTTTGGGGTTGGGGTTGGTTGGTGGGTTTTTTTTTTTTGGTATTAAGCCCTTGCTTCCAGGCACCTCTATAGGTTGTTGATTGACTGTTTTTCTGCCATGTTCAAGTTATTTGTATTTTCTCTGCATATGCTGGGATGATACCAGCATCTCCTGCAGTAAAATATTCATGTAAAATAAGCATTAAAAAAAAATTGCATGGAAGAGTCAGTTTATACCACCATGTATATCAGAGTCTCAACTGTATGGGAAGAAACATACTTATGTCACTGAATTTCACATTGTCTTGTGAAATTATTGTTTAGAACTCAATTCCTCTTTTGCCTGGAAGCAAACCAATTTAGCATATTTGACATTTAAGGTAGCTTTGAAATGTGAGGTTTAAATAACACATTTTTTTTATATTGACTACCGTGATTTTTATAAGCTTTTGGGAAGCTGAAATTTGAGAAAGGCAAACCTCCCATGAAAATCAAACATTCTGATGCATATGTATGTGTAGGTTTTTTTTCACTGAATTTTGGGTATGGGAAAAGTGGACTCTTAGTGTGCTTTTGTGTTGCTGTTTCGACCTTTTTTTTTCTTTTTTTTTCTTTCTTTTTTATGTGCCAGGTCAGTATCTCATCTTTTTGAGGGTTCATTCAGCTTCTTTTGGTCTTGAACACAAAAGCAAATCTTGGAAAATGAATATAATGCATGCTAACAGTTGTATTCACCTTATGCCACATTTATAATTCTTATTTTTCTCACCTTAATTGCTAATAAGTGATTTAGATTTAACACAGTAAAGGCATTGAACTGATGAGTGGAAAACATTAAAAAAACTGCTGGCTCCCTGTGGAATGCACAGTCCTAGAAAGCTTTGCCCGCATCAGCAGGTTTCCCTTCTTGTCCCAAGCAAGCCCTTTTCCAATCGGAACAGGCAGTTCTTTACAGTTCCATTATCTTGATAATGCAATGCTAACAATAACAGTGAGATGCTGGAGGAATCTGGGGAGCTTCAGTGTAGAAAAAATGTTACCAACTGGGGAAAAAAATCTCCACTTAATATGGGAAAATAGATACACACATGACAATCGGAGAAGGACAAGTAGACCTGGAGTCTGTGGTCAGCATGATTGACTCTGCCTTGAGCTGCAATCCGCAGGAGATTTTCTGACCTTATTTGTGGCAGAACAGTTTGGAATAGAGAGGTTTAGAGAACGTCCTCCTCACCGCGATGGATCTGTTTGTACAAGGATTTTGTGTGTTGTCAGTACCCAGCTTGCTTTTAGCATCGTATTACAGTTGGCTTCTCAAGCACTCTGGACTTACTGTGGGTTTGAGTAAACAAGGAGTTTTGTAATACTGCTTATTTTTGCATTAACTATGCCATTAATGGTTGTAAAAATTGGTAGTTCTGGTCAGACCCCAGGTGGCAGTGCTGCAAACCACGGCAGATATTTTAGCTTACAAACTAAGGAGCATCTCAGAAACCAGCCAGAGTGTGTACCAGCAGAGGTTACCACTTTTACATCCTTAGGACTGTACATCCTGGCCCATATCCACATTATCATAGTTTCCCTTCAGTTGCAGCACGGTGTTCCTATTAGGACAGAGCGATAAGGGCAAAATAAATCATGGTACTAGGCTGTTTCTGGTCTGCAGCAACATTACAGAAGTAAGGCTCATCACTTGGGCACTTCACTGGATATATAGGGTTTTTACCATGGCTGAAATTAAATTTACAGCTTTTGGGTTGTTAGCAAATTACTAGGAAATAACTAGGAATTAGTAATGATTCTTTATATTACCTGAGGTCTTAAAAGTGTCCTAAGACAGCTTTACTTAAAGAATCTTGGGACCAATAGAGAAAAGCATTTGTAGATATTTTCATTTCACAAGCAGATTTGAAAATTATGTTCAGCATCTTTGCTATTGAATATATTTCACTATTAGAAAATATTTCCATAATAGAGGTGCAGTTTAAAATTGCAAATAGTTTCTTCGTTCCTTGGAATAGCTTTTTTGTGGCCAAAATGCCAGTCACAACTATGGTATTTGGAAGTATCACTCAGTGCAGTTATTGGGTTCTCCACGTATACTGAAGGATGGAAGAACCACACCAAGCCTCTGATATTTTGTGAACTCAATATCGAGCCCTGCTCATCAGACATGCCAGAACCTGAAGCATACACCTAATTCCCATAAGACATCTCCCTTTATAGCACTGGGCTCTGATAAACTTGGCTGTGGATGTGAAATTGCAGCAGTAGAGAGGTAAGGTTTAGTTTTTCAGGATCATAACTAAACTGATTGCATTTTATAGAATGAAAAGCAGCCCAGAGTTCTGCCTTTACACAGCATGGTAGGAGTCTTGAAGGTTAATTGTCATTTGGGCTTGTTGAAGGTTAATTGACTTTTCTTCTCACAGATATCCCCGTTTCTAGAGAGCAGAAATGACCATGACTGCCAACAAGAATGCCAGTGTCAACAGCAGAGCTGGAGGGAGTAAAGTGCCTCAGGACACTCTGGATAGGTAAGTGGTGAACTACAGGCTTTGTAGATTCTGAGAAAGATTTGTCTAGGTTTGGAACAAAATCCTTGTTCAAAGGTAAGCAACCTCTATTCTGACACAGACCTTTGCTGGGCTGAGAGAAGTTTTTTGGTAGGGAATGGGGGAACAGAGGTATGAAAAAAAAGGTCTGCTTCTGGCAGGTTTCTGTTAAGCTGTTGCTGCTTGCTGGCTGGTTATGATGAAAGCGATTGCAAGGAAGGACCTGTGTGGAAGGCTCTGTGTAGGCCTCAAGGGTTTGAGCTAAATTTCTTGGCCATATGACCGCATGTCAACTTTTCTCCATTGCCAATCTCCAAGCTGTATTTTGTATTGGTTTCTGTCAGATTTTCTCTGCTATATCTGCCTTGCCAGATGATGGGCAGAGACTGCCTCCTGTTGCAGGTCAGGCAGTGAGCGTGAAAGGGCTTAATGCGAAGTACGGGGCTCATCTCTGTTGCTTTGCTTATTTGTCCTTCTTTCTGTAGCGTTAAGTCATTTACAGAGTAAGTAGATCAACTTAACCATTCACAGCTAGGGGAAAACTGTAGCCAAGGACACCTTAAGTCCCCAAGCCTGGCAGCCCTGAGGGAATCTATCTGTTTAGACCAGAAAACAAAGTGCGCTTGCGAATTTGTGCATGTTTACTTGTGGCTAAGAAACACTGTCCTAATAAAAGTTCCAGTCCATCAGAAGGCAGTGATGTGACTGCACACAGTGATGCAGATGCCTGTAGATAATAAGATACCTTTCACTCCTGAATTAGTACAGCAAAATGGCAAGAAGGTTAGAGTCAGTTATTGCTCCCTTGTCCTTCAGTTTACACTGATCAAAGGCAGTGTTTTGAGGACAATAAGTTTTCTTTGGGCGACTCGGCTTTGGCATATTGCTTTGGTATGCAAGTAAACAACTCACCTGCAACCAATAAGTTCACGTATCTGTGTCAGGAGGAGTCTTGTTCTCAGCCACAGCCTTTACAAAGTAATGCTGACTGATTCAGCCTGTGGCCTTCACACAGGACAAACCCATCAGCTCCTCTCATCCTGGGACTGATGGTTGCAAAAGTCTCACTTAAATCTGCAGTTCCACTAGGGCAGCCTTGTTATGCTTTGAATGGGAAAGTTTAGACAAAAACTAGACTCAAAACAAGACTTTAACCCCCCATTATAAACAGCATAGAGGAGGAATGTGCAAATAACTGGTGCAAATAATAGTCTCTGTACTGCAGTAATACCTTTGTGCTAGGTATTGGACATAGAAACAAGGAAGATGCTCTTTGCCTTACAAATTTCAGCATGTAACTATGTAAGGCATTAAGTACACTGCAGTAAAATGAGTCTATGCCCAGAAATGAATGTTGCAGAGGAAAAAAAGTATTGGAGGTCCTATTGATCATTGGACGCTTTGGGATAGGACCACGGGTTGTATCAAGGTCCATGAAATGCTCCGATTGCTTTGGCCAGGCCAGGCAGCACCTGTTCTCGCCATACCTGACTGTGAGGGTACCACACCTGAGAAGCTGTACCAGGGTTACTCTGAGCTGACAGCAGTACCGTGTGTGCGTAGGAGACTTATACTGGGAGAACTTTGCTGTTGCAAATACGTTAGTAAAGACTGTGATTCAGGTGAGTACATCACAGAATTACAGTTTGATTTTTATCCACTTGAAAATGAAATGTCAGAGGCAGAAAGTTGCTGTATTGGCAGCTGCCAGGTAGAATAGCTGGCAGGGATGGAGAAGTTCAAATAGAGAAATTGGGGAGTTGGCTTTGATCCTAGCAGGGAGCTGTAGGTCAACTTGAAAGTGATGCTGAATACCGGCTTGGTTTGGCATCCCTGCCATTGTATTCTGAACTTTTCCAACCACAAACAATGGAAAAGGGAAAATATAAACTAAACTCTGACATTTTCAGGATGGAAGCAATGGAAGAGATATATTTTTTTAACAGTTTCTTTCTTTTCTGTTTTTATTTAAAGGAAAACCTCTTTTTAATGACACATCTCTGCTTTGCATTTAAACACTCTGGGTTCGTTCTGGGTTGTCTTTCCATATTTCATGCACATATGACTGCCTCTGCATTGCCTTCTGTATCTAATAACTTATTTCTCTCTTTCAGCAATCTGCCACATCTTCACACTTATCTATGCATATTAATAAATCACAATAATTCCATGCAATTTGCATGGGATGGCCTCATCCCGATTACCAAAGGATAGGCTAGCTTACAAAGTAGCAGTGAATTAATAATCAAGAGCCTTAGGTAGAACTCTGCCCCTAGTCTGTGGCATTGTCACACCCTTCCCATGTCTAAAGCTTTCATTAGGTTGATTTGCCTTTCTTCCTCCTGCTGCTGTGCTCCTTTAACTTTTTAAATTGTGCTGTTTACTAAAGACATAGATAACCATCATCCATTCTAGTGTCTTTTATTAGGCATATTATGCTGTGTTAAAGCTCAGCAGAAATGGACTCGATATCCTTGTATGCTTCCCAGTTAGTTTGTGCGTTTGGCATCTCTTAGTACAAAACACTGAAAACATAAAGTAGGAGGGAGGGCGGCTAGAGGAATTTCTAGCGAGATATTCGTATGTGGATATTAAAAACAGATCCCTAATGATATCTGGCATTCTCAAATTGTTTATCATCCTTCCATCAGTGCAGACAGATTGGTGGTGGGAACATGGGTCTAGGCTTTAGCAAACTTTGGGCCTACTCTTTTGTTTTAAAATCTTTTTCATTCTGAATAGCTTAGAAAGTACTGTGGGATACTAAGTTATTGGATAATAACTGTCAAATAAACTGTCTTTCCTTATCATTGCCATCTGTTTTGATTAGAATTTGTCAGGAAAATATTTTGTAAGTACAAGTACGGACCTGAAGCTAAGGAAAATCTTTGAGTTACTTGCGTGACAAGGGAGGAGATGAATAGGTTGTCATGCACCAGTTCTCCATCCATTATTTGACCTTATGTAATCTCCTTCACCTGTCTTTGTGAAACCCTGTAAGAGGATGTTATTTGAGTCGACCATGAGGATTCTTCATTTTAGTCAGACTGTAAATCAGGGGAGTAAGTGCTGGCACAATAAAAGTTTAAGGCTTGCAGGATTTACTGCGAACATGTTCAAAGATCTATTTAAGCTAAACAGTCATTCTCTCTCTTTAGTATGGCATTTGACTGGGGATTTGGAAATCTGCAAATATACTTTCTCTATACTTTGTGAGAATAGAGTTTCAGTAAGTGCTGATACTGGCATAACACAGGTGTATTAGTCTCCTGGTGGCTAAGACATCTTTTTAGTGTTATTTTCTTGTCATTCTTAGTTTTGATGGGATTTGTTAGTGCAAGACTGTTTGGTTGGACTCGATGATCTTAAGGGTCTTTTCCAACTAAATGATTCTATGATTGTAAGACACAAGGTATGTTTCAGTGATACCGTGTCACCATCCAGTTCAACCTTTTGTGATTCCTTATGGGACAGAAGCAAATGTCAGTAAAGTCTATAGAAGTCTTTCTAATTACTTTGACTGTGAATGAGACCCTTGTAGAACATGGATTTAAATTTTAATAATAATAATCTTCAGTGGAAAGGAGGTGCCTACAAGTAAACATCTCTACAACTGCATGATTTGCAAGCATCAAGATGCTTGCAGTAACTAAGATCCTCTTGGTCATCACTGGAGTGTGGATCCACTGGTGTGAGGCACCACAGCCATTTTTCCACCAGAGTTGTGCTAATGGCAGTTTAGGAAATGAGGGAGAAACAGAGCAGACTGAGGACATTATTTGGGAGACTGGAAGTCTCTGAGATGATGCATGGAATAGAGACAGTAAATAGGGGAAAAAACTCTTTATTTGATTCGTGTTAGTTCTTAAATGGAAAGAAGTTGACAGGTTGAAAATCAGTTAAAAAGACTTCATGCCACTTCTCTGTGGCATGGTTTTAAACTATGGAACTTACTGCTACAGGATGTTGCAATCTGACAAATTAATGGAAGAAAAATCTACCGAAGGCTTTTAACCACACAAGCAAAGTCTGTGAGTCAACAGACTCTTAAGCTGGTTAAGTAGCACTGCATGCTCATCTTGTTCTTGCTGTTTTCTGTAGGCACCTGTGAACTGTCACGGTCAGTGACAGAGCCTGGACTAGGGATGCTCTTTGGTCCAAGCCAGCGAGGACATTCTGATGTTGTTTGGAACAGGAGGCAATTATAGGAAGCGAATATTAGAGAGTTTGTAAAAGGATTGTTATATTTACATAATGAGACTTCCTGGCTTTTGGTGAACTTCAAGGACACAATTTTAATCCTTCCTTGTGAGTCACTGAAGTGAACGCCAAGGAACAGGAGGTTAGGAAAGCACCTTACGTGTAGCTGAAAGTGACTTCTTAGTAATTCTGGCAGGAAGCAGCTCTGTGAAATCTTAACTCTTCCACAGGAGACAAAGGAGCCCATAGCATGCTTGCAACTAGTGCGTGACCCTTTTGCATCAAATGACTACTTGGTGTGATTGCACCATGCTTAAGAGGATCAGTGTAACTCTGAGGAAACCTGAAGAGAACAGAAGTCAAAGAAAAGGCATAGCGGTGTTTGTAGCGCTCTCCCCACAATGTGGCTTGCTTTCCCCTAGCAAATGATTTAATATTTATGTGGAGGCTTTGTGTTCTATGCAGAAACGTTATTTGAATTAATGAATTAATTTATAAAATATCTGTCCTAATCTTGTGTTTGCTTCAGTGCAAAGGTAAATGTAGAAATGACACTACCAGCCCTTTTTGTCTTAATCACTTCAACACTACACTGTATTAAAATGGGCCTATAGTTATGTTTATGAGGTCATGCTATACTTAACAAAATATAGGTTTCAAACTTGTAGTCTGTTCAGTCTAATAAAGGAGAAAAAAAATTCTGAAGAACATAATTATATGTTAATATATCATTATATCTCAAAATGGCAACTTAGTTTGAGATGCTATATATGATAAGTACC